CCAATTGTGGTTTTTCCATGTAAAACCGTTGAGTCGATTTGTCTTGATTGTTTGATTGGAATTGTTGTTTACTGCTTAAAATTGATACATAATCACAAATCAACATATAGGGGATTTTTAGATTTTTCAATTGGTATCAAAGCAGGTCGTTCTATTTTTTTTTAAAACTTTTGAGCAAGATCTTGTTTGATTTGTGATAATGGATTCAATTCGTGAGGGAAATTCTATGGTTCGACCACCCCTACTTGACGGATCCAATTATTCGTTTGGGAAAGCTCAGATGAGATCGTTTTTAAAATCTATTGATGAAAAAGTTTGACAATCTGTCATGTATAGGTGGACTGAACCGACGATTACCGTTGATGGAGTAACTTTCCCCAAACCAATTGATAAGTGGGACACAATTGATTACCAAAATAGTAGCTGGAATAGTAAAGCTATCAATTCTCTCTTTTACGCTGTCACACCTGAAGAGTTTAGTTGAATTTGCAATTGTGAAGTCGCAAAAGAGGCTTGGGATATCTTACAAACTATTCATGAGGGCACTTATTCTATTAAACGCTCAAAACTTCAAAGTCTCACGTCTAGTTTCGAAAACCTTTCAATGAAAGATAGTGAGACCTTTGATGAATTTTATGCGAAGTTGAGTGACATTGTAAATTCCAGTTTCAATTTAGGTGAAAAAAATACTAGAATCCAAAGTTGTGGTAAAAATTTTGAGATCCTTGCCCGATCGGTTCCAACCAAAAGTTACGGTTATTGAGGAGGCTCAAGATGTTGACAACCTCAAGCTGGATCATTTGATTGGAAATCTCCAAACTTATGAGGCACATAGGAATTTCAAAAAGAAACAAAAAGATACTATTGCTTATAGTAGTGCTCATAGAGTTGAAGAGGATTCTGATGAGGATTGTGAGATAGATTCCTATTGCTTTTAGTAGTGCTCATAGAGTTGGAGAGGATTCTGATGAGGATTGTGAGATAGATTCCAAGATTACGGCTGCTTTTGTTAAACAATTTAAAAAATCTTTTTTGAAAAAGAATCCTAATCTTTTGGAATCTACTCATTCTCATAAATCTAAAGGCAAAGATAAACTCAAAATTAGCCCTATAGCCAAGAAGGAGAAAGGAAAGACACAAGGGAACTCTGAAAGAGTCCAATGCTATGAATGCTAAGGATTTGGCCACTTTGCTTCAGAATGCCCCACCCGTTTGAAGAAGAAGAAAGCCCTCGCCATCACTTGGGATGATGAATCAGAATCTGATGAAGATGAAAATGACAACGAAGATCAAGACGAAGAGCGACATAAACAATTCCTTGCTTTCATGGAAGCTTCCAAAACTGAAGGACGAACAGAGTATCCGAAGAGGTTGGTTCAGAATGCCACTGATGATGAATCCTCCGAAAGTGATGATGAAGAGCTTGAGCAAGCTTTTGAAAAGATGTATAAGGAGTCTCTTAACTTATCCAAATTGAATGACAAACTCACAACGAAACTCAAAGCATGTGAAAGTGAGAATGTCAAATTTAAGGAGGAGATTTCCAAGGCTAAGATTGATGCCATCAAGATATCTAATGATCGACAAGCTTTTCGTGCAAAACTCTTGACTTGTGAGAGAGAGAGGAATGAGCTCCAACAAATATATGCAACATATGAAGAAAAAAATTGAAACTCTCGAGATGTCTCAAGTTGCTTTGGAAGAACTAATGATCAAGAAAGAGGAAGAACTCATGTGTGCTATGGCTACCATTGGTCTTTGGAACAGAGGATCAAAGACTTTGGACAATATCATTGGGTCTCAACAAATTTGTTCTGACAAGAGTGGCATTGGCTTTGGTGATAACAAAGAGCAAAAACAAAGTGCATCTACATCTCATGATACAAGAACTCAAGGAAAGGGAGAACAAAAAATTCAACATAAGGATGGACTTCTCAAACTTCCTAGAGTTGGTAAGGTAAAAGAAAAGAAGGTACACCCTGTACACCTTTGTCATCATTGTGGTATGCATGGTCATATTCGCCCTTATTGTTATAAGTTGCATGGGACAAAAATCGGTGCAAACGGAGAAAGTTAACCTGTCCCGAATTGAGGCACACGACCGACGGCTCCGAAAACCGAAAACTGATCTCCAAACGGGAAAAATGGCCTACAACCACTGAGAGATGGTCTACGAGACCTCTCCCTCCCTTCGGGAAGAGAAAACAGGGAAAACAAGACCCGATTCGCAAACCGAGGCAAAGCACAAAAGAGCCCCGAAGTCTAGAGGCAAGGCTCACAGCCGAGACTCCGCAACCTCAGAACGAGCACAATATACAACA